TGCAGTGGTTGACCCCACGATACTCATGCGGTCTAAAGCACATCAACAGCCTCTCGCACAATCTGAAGCGATCTTGAAACCTCATCCTCCAAGGTCCCTATAAGACGGCCAAGTAACAGATGAGGATTGGTAGGGTGGAAACGTTAGTGGACGGCTCTTCGGGCAAGCGGCAGCGGAAGTAGACAAGGAGAAGCCCGATGCTGCCATGTCTGACTGGAATCTGAGTTGAAACTTAGAACGTACTGTTGCTTCACCTCGGGTGAACAAAAATCACCACATCTTCAACTTCGGATGAACAACCCTGCAGACTTTTAGCCAAGCTGGGAGCGAGCCCGCCGTTTGAGCCATGCTCCGAATTTGCGCCATTCGTCCGGCAGCCGAGTCCTGCACTTGAGTCACGAAAGGTAGGAACTGCTGGTGAGCGGCGGCACCCATTCAGCTTCAAGTGCCACTAAGCCCCAATTTCCGCCCGCTCCCTTCCGCCCCCGATGCCCGATTCTTTTGCTCTCTGCCAGCTTCGGCATGCTCCTCATTGAGGAAATCCTGGGGATCGGGCAAAGCCCTAGAACTCAGCTTCATAAAGTTTGGTCAAACAGATTGGTAAGGAATTGGCCAGGTATTTCTTGCCCGAGCGCGCCCGCAATGCAGGCTCTGCTGAATTCGGTAGATCAGCGTGCCAGGGACTGGTGCGACAAAATTCCTGTCGCAGAGTCTTGCGCTGAGCAGCCGCTGCCTCTTCTCGTAGGCCGTACTTACTCTCCTGCCTGTCTGCGGCAGCGGAGCGTCGGCAAATTCAGGCCCTGGCTACGCTGGGCTAAGTGCTCATTTCGAGTTCGGGGTTCTCTGGACAAGTGCCCCCGCAGAAGGTTCCAGGCGATCCCGTGACTCCCAGCCATGCTCTGTGACACTGGGGACCTCTGGAAAAGAACAGCGCGGACCCGTCCTCTTTAAGGACGTAGAAGCCGCTATTCTCCTTTAAGTCTTCCCACACCGAGGCAGCGTAATGGCCTTCGAGGGCCTGCCTCCGGGAACTTGGATCTGCTTGTCCCTGCTCCGAATTGGGCCCTGTCGCGTCTCTTGCTACAACTCTGAGTTTCAGATACAGAGCTAGGTAGAGCCCCAAAGCCCTAAACCCTGAGACTCGAGAAGTGGTTCTATGTATTGTCCAGGACAGTCGTGCTGGTGTCATTGAGGAGTAAAGTTTAGATACAGCCCTCCCAACTCAGCCCACAACCACATGACTTCACCTTCACTAGGCTAGTCATATCTTTGTTGCTACTTTACGAGTACTTTAACTAAGAACTGACAGACAGGGCCCGGTACGCCTTAGTCGCAGATGTGACACGACGCACCGCTATCCTCGCTTCAACGAAGCCAATATCGGACTTTGAGAGGAAGGGGACACCACCGAAAAAGTGGGATCCTCACTGAAGAACCCGGAAGTCTCAAACCCCACAAAGCATAGAGCCTAGGTTACGTGCCTAGGTTTCGTTCCAGCTTCTATTCGTGGAGGATGCCTGCCAATTCTGAACTTATGATCGCGACAGCCATCCCTGCGACATCACGAATAACTGCCAATAACCATGTAAAGAGGACAGCTAGGCCGGAGAGGGATCAGGAGCATTCATGAATTCCGACCCACTTGATCGGGTCGCGCATGCACGTTCCACAGGCCGCCACATGTCTTGACACCATGTCGCAGGAGCTTGGTTGATTTCTCTAGCCTGCCGAGGCAGCCCAAGATACATGTCGACATCATTCAGGTCGGGGCAGCAGAGTGAGGTGCAGGAGGTGTATTTGAGGCTCTCTGGCATCACAAAAAAGCAGCTTGGCCCGACTGAGGCGACAGAGGCTGCGTCAGATGAGTCTCGCCTGAGGACCATCGCGGCCTGCAGAAACGAGGCGTGAGTTCACCGCATCAGTTTGGGGCTTTCGTGTCTTAGGGCTCAGGGTTACGGGTTCATGGAGTTCCGAGCGTTGGAGTTTGAAGATGTCGCTGTTTACTGGGTTTCGGCCTCTGTGGAAGGCCTGAAGCGGGGTGCAAGCTAGGCTCAACGGGTAAAAATGGCCGGAGTAGCTGCCACGTGCTCAGGAGCTCCACGCACGAGAAGTTTTCATCGCAGGATCTCTAGCTAGACATTTCAACATCGAACGGAGTGGCTCTCCAAATATCTCTCCAGGAAGCCCCTCTTTTAGAATGGTCAGACAACCTATTGCTCCTTCTACCCTAAGCGCACTTAAAAGGCTCCCAACAGGATCTCGGAGGTCTTCCACCACGACCCAGATTCAGATTCTTTTGAGGATCTGTGTCTCTCGCAGGGGCTCTCGGCTTATCTTTTGCACACAAGGCATTGGATAAGAAATCGGCCCTGATATCACTACCCCTCCCGTTCCCACCTTGACGCGTTAGAAGACCGTTAGCAACAATGACCTAGCCGAAAGACACCATGAGATCTGACGTTGGAAGCCCTTGCGAGCCCTCTCTAGAACCCACAGCGCCTGGCGAGATCTTGAAACACTAAGCTTCAGTGGGTGGCACCCAGCAGCACCTGGCAAGTGAAAACGGGCCACCCTTCTTCGGGACTGCCTTTAACAAATATGTTGCAAGAAATTGTCTTGATCTTGAGAAGTCGAAACAGCCGCAGCATCGGCAGCAGCCGGCGCTGCATCAGCATCGTCGGCGTCGTCGTTGATTACTACACCGAGAACATGCTGAGCCCAGAAAATGTCACAAACCGTTGCCTTCACCTGCCCCTTATGCGTTAAGGTGGTACCCTCTCCTTGTTGGCCAAGCCCCAGCATGAGCCTTTGAGTCCGACAAGCACAAACGATAACGATCTCTGCTTGTATGCAGAAGCAGCTCGAATGCTTCAGGGAGTTGCTCACCCGTCTTGAAGCCCGTAAGATCCCGTAAGCATGCTGCGCATACTGGCTGCTGGTACGTATTCGGAGTCTCGGGACGGCCGTTGCAAGTCTGCTTGCCTTCCAGGATGCGAAAGGCAACATAACTCTGCGTGATGGAACTTGCGTCTACCAACATGCCACATCTACGCTTTTCGAGGCGAGGGTTGTAGTCAGAAAGGGTTGCAACTGGACGACATGCGTACTTGCACGGATGGCATGATCTCACCGCTAAAGCTCGATTGTTCGGGATTGCAACGACTTAGGACTTCTTGGAGATAGGCGTTTTAGCAGATTTTTGGACAGCACAAGATATGGAATTTTGTAAGATTTACTCGCCAAGCAACGCTTCTTGTCACGTTCGCCCCAATGCTGCGCTTCGCCTCAGAAGCGACACCAGGCCCTCATAATGCTGCAAGTTTCACTACATTTACACAGTGACAAAGAGTGATGACAAAAAGCTGTAGTCACCATGACAGGAAAGAGAGCCAGCAACATCTTAACAGTCGATCCCCATCGCACACGATTACGCCTCCCTAGGTCGGGACGAAAGCGCTCAGCCTTGAAGCTCTTTGCTGCAGGGCGGATAGAGAGTATAAATCTGTTAAAACACTACAATACAAGTCACGAGGAACGCCTTAAGGTTGGCCTAAATCCTCTCAAGCCCTGCAGGCCCCTACCCCCGAACCGACTCTGCAGCTCCGGGCCGAGCTTTTTGCCCACGGCCACTTGGCCCATCCCTGAGGGCCTGGGTGGGACTTCAGCACTCCGGGAGTCCAGGGATCAGCTGGAGAAATTGAAGAGGAGAAAAGAAGTTAACGCAGCCGAGGGGGAGGGTGGCAAGGTTCAGTGTGAAGAGGCATGGGGAGTTGCCACAACAAGGTCCCATGCCCTCGGGAGCCACAATGTTGAATCTCAGACTGCATACTGAAAGGCCACGTTATTCCCAGCTAGTCACAGGCTGAAACGAACACATCCTTATGCAGTTCTGCACACGTCGATGGGCACCCGAACCTATACTTATACCGGCATCCATGACAGGCGCCGGCTTCAGGATTCGGATACTTAGCATCTCGGTACCCAGCGGTTTCGGTCGACGCCGCTCTGCAGACCCGAAGATGCCTGGCAAAGAGCGGCAGCTGACGTCTTCATGCTGCAGGATGCCGATGTTACGTGCGTGTTTTCGACGGTAGGCCTGCCCAACGCGAAGACATTTCGCGCGAATGAGTTGAAAAGACAAAAGTCAACGTGAAGTTTCTCGCATCGCTTCTAAAAACCATGGATTCAGCGTTCGTGCTGTTTTGCAAGGCACTCACTCTAACAAACCGAAGGCCTTGTTTCTTACTATAAGGGTACCAAACATGTATTAATCCAATTAATAAGGCTTCTACACCCTCTGAAATGTAGGCACGAGACTCGTGCCAAAACCACTGGAGCTCCAAGAAGGCTTTGCAAGCCCGGACCAAAACTGCTTACACGCTGCAGCTGTTCGTAAGTCTCCGCACCGGGTTGTACCACATCGCAGCAGCTGCATGTAAACAGAACTGAACCAGGAGGACGGAAGCATGCCGGGCTAACGGTCGCAGTCATCGCGGTTTTGGAGCTCCAGCGCGATTTCCTGGCTCAGTGCCCAAGAATTGAACATCGAACCGCAGGTTCGTTCGGATGAAGAATGTGGGGCTCCATGCATCAGCCCCGACCCAACGAAGCCGCCAAGAACATGAGCTTCAAATCCGACAGCTTGCATGTAAGCAAAGGGCTGGCCTTGAGGTCGCGGTCTTTGTTGTAGAGGTGGAGCTGGGCTTCCTGTGGACTAATATAAGGGAAGAAAGACGACGCGGCAGAAGATAATGTAACCTCACCTCTCAAATCGCAAAACTGCTAATGACACGTGGTGGCGGCGTAGCGCTCCAAAACACAGTGAAGTGAGACCTGCTGCAAGCTAGGCTAGCAATAATGGCCAGACGCTGGGCAAGACAGGTCATAGCTGCACAAAGCACTATCAAATTCCAGACCGGTAGTAAAATGGGGGTTGGTGTACACGATGCCGATACCATCTCAATCATGTCATGTCTTAATGGAAGTCGTGAAGCCGTGCATCAAACAACTCGGACGGCCTGCAAGCGCTTGCGCTGATCAGTAATCTGCTTGACATCTTCCTTCAAAGGCAAGCGCTACGACATGGTCAGCGTGGACAAGTAGACATAGTAAGAGAGGGCTCAGCCAACGCACGAGCAGCCTGATGCCATGCAGACACTGCGACACTATGCGCGACAAAACTCGACCCTAAACCCTAAACCCTGGACCCATACAGAAACCCTTAGAGGTACAGAGGTCCTGCAAACGACAAGAGACAGTAATCGAAAGCTCGTGTTGCACCTCGCGGCTCTCACGGCTCGCGAAGCGTTTGGCCAAGGTGTCATGCTCTGCTTTGAGCTCCGACTCCTCACAGAGGAGAAAGTGCTGGGTTGCCAGGGGCGCCTGGCGTAGGGTTTAGGGATAGCAGCCCGTATGTAAACTCGCAGTACATACAACTTGCCCATATCCCTGCTTAGGCCCATATCCTGAACCACCTGAAACCCACAGGGACCCACCAGCGGAAGCATCAAGAAACGGAGAAATAAGATTGCCCATTCTGAAGGCCGGAGATCCTTGATGTTGTTGATCTCGCGCGCAGCTCGGAAAGCAGCGGCCAAGCGCCTGTTGGGGAAAGCTTGCGAATGCATCTTCCCACGCTATGCTTTGGAGCTTAAGGTCTGAAGGCCCTTGTTTGGTGCTACCAGAGACTACAATACATAGATAGAGTCTTGATAAAGTAGGACAAGTATGCCAACATCATGGAACTCGCACGCTTCATCTTAAATATCGTGCTTCAGCAGCAAGACCACAAACAGCCACCGCTGCCGCTCCAATAACATCGACGAGAAGCGCCCAAATTCCTCATTCCCCCACGTTACTCAGGACTCAGTAGCTCTGGAGGATCTGTAAGGCTCTGAAGGGTGACAGCAGAGACCAGCGGGGTTAAGAGTTAAGACTACACTGCATGAAAGGTGTCTCTGGACGCGGGCATTTGAAGAAGCCAGCCTCTGTTGGGCGTTGCCTCCTTCCCAGGCTTCGCGAACAGCATCTTCCTGAAAACCAATGAGCTAAGCGCACGTTGCAAATACTCTAAGCCTTGACCTTGTCGAATCTGCATGCAACATGTAGGAAACAAAAGATGGCACTGTCATTATCATCGTGTCCTTTGCGAGTCTGCCCTTGGGTCATCGTTGGTTGTCTGTGTCACTTGGGGTTTCGGCACATGGTGCCTGAGCTCTCGTACTCCATACAGGATGCACTGCAGGGATTCCGTAGGGCAGCCCTGACTGTTCTCAGCCGAGCGAGCTGAGGGAGCGCTGAATTGAGTAGGGGTTTAGGCCTAGGATGTTTTGGGGTTGCAAAGGTGCCGTACCGGACTTTTTTTCGCACTCGCACTCGACAAAGCAGGCGAGTGTTGGGGAGGTCCACACATTTCGACCACCCCAACATTCCCCACTCCTCGTAAGCCAATCGACTAGGTCAAGCTCCACAGTACGAGTTATACCAGGAGACCATGACCTGCCTAAGGATGTCAGACTGCGCCTTCCTCTTCTTGTTACATAAGTCACTCACATGCCAATAACAACGAACGCACTGACATTCCCAGGCAGAGCGACACTCAGCA